CTTCCTAATTAGGACGCCTTTCCAAGGCTTGGAAAGCCGAGGAGGTGCTAGTTCTTGGGACAGGCTGCTGCTGTGGAACTCGCTGCCGTCCCGCCGGCTCTGAGGGACAGTGGCCATTTGTCCGTCCTGCCCTTGGAAGATGTGGCGATCATAACCTCAGAGAGCGCTTTGCCAGCTCCATCCGCCCCCGCTGGTCGTGGAGTGTGAAAAACGCCAATCACTTGTTTTTAAAAGTTCAATGGTAATAAAATGGTTATAAAAATAGCAATAAAATTAGAATAATAATAATTTGGACAGCTTCGATTAGGACAATACGAGACAATAGAAACAAAGAGTTACGTACGGAAGTCCAGGTACCTTTTCTGGGCAGCATAAGCCCAAAAAATGACCCACGTTAACAGAGGATTAACCCTTAAAGACAACAGCCTGTTGCATATTCAAACATCTCATCCATGATGCATAAATTCCATTCAAATTCTGTCTGGTCAGTGTCAGCTTCTTCCTCTTAATCCTGACAGTGACTTCAAGCCTGAGCGAGGTGGGAAGAAGTTTGTTTCTTTTGATAATGGAGCAATAAATTCTCTTTCTCTGAAAGATTCAGGTGTCCTGTGGCTGCTATCTGTCTGTGAGTCCCTTCTTTAAAAAAAAGTATCTTACATAGCATATTTTAACGTTGTTATAACCTAAACGATATTTAACACACTACTAAAAAAATGAATACAGCATAACTTTCTGACACAACACATATAATATTAATTTGAATATTTGTGAAAAGCCAATCATAAAATACGCATTTTTCACAGCAAGGCAATGACCTGCTCAAAGCACTCGATGCCAAACGTTTTCTGTTTGTCCCTGAGGAGCTGCACTTTGGGAATGGCATCATCCTGGTCAAACTCCAAGCTTGGCCCAGGAGTTCTGTCCAGCAGGAACAGTTCTTGCACAGTGCCCGCCCTCGTGTAACAGTAAAAATAGTGAATAGAGCCAGGACAGGACAAAAAGGGTCCCTAAAAGTAAAGCAAAGTACTCCACTGGAGTAGAAGACAGCACTTCAAAGAAGAGTTAAATAATCCTTTTTAAATATAGGGAAATAAGAATGAATCCTCATTTTAAAAATGGGATTTGAAGAAATCTTCACAATTCCTTTCTAATGTGAAATCCCCATGTTTACAGAGGGCTGGAAATGCACAAAAGCAAGGAACTAAAGAGCACATCTTTATGCTCCAGGTTATCTAGAAGCATTAAAGTCATTAAAGAGCTGAGCCAGTTCTGCCAGGTGACTCAACACCCCGTGTGCCCAGAGGGACCTGAGGCAGTCCCTCAGCAGCTCCTGCTGGGATCTGGCCCAGGTTTCCTGGCAGCTCCCAGCCCAGCCTGCCCTGGTTCTGCCGGTCAATCACTCCTCCCTCCGTGTTTGTCACCACAATTAGGCACTGCCAATACTGTGGCTGTCTGTGAGGCTGGAGACCAGGATGGATCCTGTGGGAAGGGAATGTGCTCACCCAGGTGCTGCTGTGTGTCCATGGGGACCTCAGAGCCACTCTGCAAACCCCTTTGTCCATCTCCCCAGGCACTGTGAGATTTTCACCAGGCAGTTCAGGACAGAGGGGTTGTCTCCATTTCTGTTGCTGGAGCCAGAGAAGTGAAACACATTTCCATCGGTGACTTATTACCTGCTGTGCTGATCAAAGGGACAAAACCATCTTGGATTGATTCTCCGGGGCAGTGTTTTAACCAGGAGGGTTTAAGGCTGCACAGGAGACGTGGTCTGTGGGGAAAGCTGATCTCTTATTAAATCAGCAGACAGGACTGAGTGTGGGGCTCAGCTCGGGGGTTATGTGCCTGAAAGCCTGTCTGGGCTCCTTATTTTTTCCAGCTGTGCTGAGGGAACCTAATAAAGGTACTGCTGTCCCTGCAGCCTTTCACCAAGCTGCTCCCCCGCTGCTTTGCTGGGGCTGATTTATGGCACTGGGGCCACAAGAGTGGCCTGGGAGGGGCGTGCCCTGCACAGGAGGGGCTCAGCTCCTGTCTGGGGCCTCCCTCCTTGCCCCGAGGGATTTCCGGGAGGGAAAATGCTGAGGATGGGGAGAGGATAAATGAGAGACCAAGCAGGCAGCAGCAGCTGGCTTGAATCAGCGCCTGGCACAGCACCAAAGAGATCAAGGGGTCGGTGTGAGAGGAGCCACTGGGCTGGTGGAAAATGGTTCTGCCCTTTCCAGCAGCATGCCCAGGTAGCACCAGGGCAGGGCTAGGGAAGAGAATTCAGGGCAGGTGAGAGGCCAAGTCATTCCGTGGTCAAACCTCTCTCCATCCTGCAGAGGATTTGCAGTTTGGGCTCAGGGTGGGCACAGGGGGGTGGCACATCCCATCTGCCCATGGACAGACACACAGACACAACTTGTAGGGTCTGTGACCCTACAGTGCTGGCCCACACCCTTGGCTCGCCGATTTGATCCCCTCCAGTGATGTTACTGTAACTGCAGGACAATGATTTTATGCCCAGTGGATTTGATTTGCCCCTTGGGGAATATAAAATTTCAGCACAGCCCCTGCAGCCTGGCAGCTCCCAGCTCCCCAAGGTGCAGGGTAGCTCTGGAGTAACCCTCTGGTGCTTTCCATAGCTTCCCCTGAGCAGACAACACTTTCTTTTCTCCCTGCTGTTTTCCAGCCCTGCCTGCCCAGGGGAGGAGACATTCCCTGAGGAATGGGGATGCTGGGTGCCACGGTGATGGTTGCCATGGCAAGGGCTGCCACCATCCCCTTGGGGACCAGAGCTGTCAGCGTGTGGCTGCAGGCAGTCCTGGGGACATGGGGAGCCAGGGCAGAGCTGGATATGTGGGGGCAGCTGGACTTACTGGGGTAGCTCTTCTCACCTCCCAGACTGACTGTGCCCGCTGGGAAGCAGCTCCTTGCACAGGATGGTCCAGGACATGCAGCTCCAGCTGGGAGCAGCCTGGGGTGGAAGCACAGGATGTGCTGAGCACCCAGCAGTGTGGTGGTGTTGTGGGTCCCAGGATGAGGTGAGAGATGAGAATTGACTCCAAGTTCTCAGAAGGCTGATATATTATTCTATTCTATTCTATTCTATTCTATTCTATTCTATTCTATTCTATTCTATTCTATTCTATTACTATACTAAAGAAAAAGAGACATCAGAAGGCTAGACAAGACTGAATAATAAAAACCCATGACAGACTCAGAGAGTCCAAGACAGCTGGCTGTGATTGGCCATTAATTAAAAACAATTCACATGCTGGCTAAACAATTCTCCAAATCACATTCCAAAGCAGCAAAACAGGGAGGAGCTGAAGCTTCTCATCTTGCCAGGAGAATGAATCCTGGTGAAGGGATTTTTCACAAAATATCCTT